TTTGTCCCAGTCCAGCCCTGGACACGACACGCAGTGAGTTAATCTGAGAAGGTGCATTAAAAAATAAATGGCCGGGCCAGTGGTGCACATCGCAAATTAACTCGCATACACACATTAGTTGTACCGTTTCTTAATGACGGTATCTTAGCTAACAACCCCAACTATCAGATTCAACTTGTAATTGGCTAAAAACAACAGAGGGACGTTGCTAGCTGGCAGTTTTTTCGAGCGATGTTGAAATTTCCACATTCAGACACTTCAAATGCTTCAGCAGCTGTCCGCTCAGCGCAGCATCAGCACCGCGGAAATACACGGATACATCCGAAGACTCGAGACTGATCAAACCAGAAAGCTTTAATGAGCAGCTGGTTTGCCTCGCATTAACTGGTATTAACTCAGCCAGTTAATCGAAATGCAGCTGACTGAACTGAAAAGCTCGACTCTGTGGGGTCAAAGTTTGCAGAACTGCGAACACAGCTGGAATCCACAGCTGTGCGTGTTCATGGAGCTGCATGTTCACCTACTGGACGTCACTACCTGACAGGTTTAACTGTCTTCAGAACATTGCAGAGACCTTACTGACAGTGTTTGGCTCTACATGTCTGTGTGAGCAGGTTTTCTCTCACATGAGTCCTCAGCTCTGAATGCTGGACACTGGGAGACCTGTGTCTCTGAGTGGGAGACCAGAGATCACATTAACATGCGTGTCTCTGTATTAACAAACATGCCATAATGGCCCTGTTTATTTTTCTTATCATTGTTGTGAGGAGACCATAGATAGCATTTGTATTTTCTGTTGTACAGTTCATTTGCTGTTATGGATAAAGTCTTTTTTTTGTTTCAAAATAGCTGATAAGTATTCGCTGATAGCTGCTAACATCTGCGAACAAATATAACTCTATAAAGTTGTTCTATATAGTGTGTAACTGTTATTATAGAGCATTATTAAATGTATTGCTAATGCATCATATGGCACACTGACTCCTGAGGAAAATTTAGATTGTTTTCATATATAACAGGTCAGTTTAAACATAAAGGTTTGGTGAGTCCAAGCTTAAGTATATATTTCAAACAATAAAACCTTATTTAACGCAAATGTTGTGAATAAACTTGAAATTATGGATTTTACCCTCTGAAGACCTGAACTCTTTCATGGCATGCATTTTGATTTCTCTTTACTATTTGGGCTTTATACTGTTGATAGAACACTGTAAAGTCACAATTGAATAATGATATGCAGAACTCTTTATTTGGTGTCTGAACACTGCAGCATTTTTCCTGAGTACGAAAACAAAATGAGAAACAACAGCTGAGCCCCTTTAAGCAATATGGCTCATTTGAAAGAGCAAAATTTAGTATTGTGGTCTAGACAACCCAAAATGTGATGTCCCCATATGTGGACGCCAGGTCCTAGGAGGTTAAAATTGTATTTCCATGTAAGTCCATATGGTGAACAATAAAAGCATTCCTCCATTGTGGCTCGCTGTGATGGACAAGACGGTCACCTCTGTGCACGTCTGGGTCAGGGTCAGGGTCTTGACTCATTTGTTCTTATTCGCTGAACATCAGCTCAGAGTTGTTGGTGCAAGTATTGAACATGACTTTCGGTAAGCCTCAAACCAGCTCTGACAAACTGACTGATGCAAAGTTTTGACCGTACCTTACAGTGTAGGGACGGAGTATCGCGGACCTCAACTGGGACAGAAGAAGGCAAACTTTGACCAATGCCTCAATCCCACTGACACACCTTTCATAGAGTAAGCAGAGTCTTGGGATGAAGGAGATGACTCGGCCGTCACTGGCGCTAAGGTTGCTGAGGTAGTTAAAAAAAGAGTTTGGTGAACCTCCAAGTCTGAGGCCGTAGTTCTCAGCTATGTTCTCAGGAAAATGTTTTTTTATCATAACCTTAATGACTGCAACACAGCAAAGGACATTACTAATGCAAACTGATTACACTGAACCTTAATCACCCTTTTATCAGTTAGTATAACAGACCTGGAATAGCTCTTACTACGACCGCCATGGAGACACTTCCAGGTCATGGGGTGGCTGTAGCTCAGGTGGCAGAGCAGGTCAGCCACTAATCAGAAGGTCTGTGGTTCGATCCCAGGCTGCATGCCAAATATCCTTGGGCAAGATACTAACCCCATGTTTGCCTACTGGTGGTGGTCAGAGGGCCCGGTGGCGCCAGTGTCCGGCAGCCTCGCCTCTGTCAGTGCGCCCCAGGGCAGCTGTGGCTACAATGTAGCTTGCCATCGCCATGTGTGTGAATGACTGAATGTAGTGTGAAGCGCTTTGGGGTCCTATGGACTAGCAAAGCGCTATACAAATGCAGGCCATTTACCATTTCTTTCAGTTAGGAACCTTCCTAAGGAAAAAAGACTATTGGAATGCAACCAATGACTTTTTAGACCCTTAACTTCTCCTCGCAGAGCTTCAAGGGATCTTCCAGGATGGTGAGGATATTTTCGGCAGACTTAAATTGGTCATCAGGCAGCGATTTCATAGCTGTTGATGTCTAATGTGGAACTTGACCTGCACTGGCGTGAGTTGGCTCCACAGCATAAGTTAGCGTGACGCTTGTAAGAAGTAAACCACCTTCGTGGTACAGAAAACCCAGGATCAACCCTGAAGTTATCTGGATAAGTCATAAATCCTGTTTCATTGGCCTCTACACTATGAAGATAGACTTTAAGCTTATCCGGGTAACTTCAGGGTGCGTTTTATTTTACAATCACTGTAATTTATTTATACACGTATAGAAACATTAGCATTTCTATATGCTTCTGTTACCAGCACCAGACCCAGGGGAATCTGGACCGGCAGCAAGCGGCACACAGGCTAGAGAGCACTGCGTAGCCAAATATGAGCAAACTGTGGATTAATAGAGAGGACACCGAAGTTAGCGTCTTGCTCAGGCCGGAGCTCATTTATTTCTGCAACATATACACAATACAAATGCATTCTTCCCATAAAATAACAGAGTTCACAAACAAAAATAAAGTTACAAAAAGTTTCTCTCAAAAGCAAAATAAATACAAACTAATTCAAAATGACTTTACATACAATTTAAACAAAACACTCGCGGCTAAAGCAGAACAACGTACCAAAATAACCCATCTCACATTCACACAACCTTTCCCCACATTCGCGCCAAATACGCTATTACTTTTGAACATGGCGTCCCCTGAACGCAACACAACATGGCAGCAGACGACTGCAAACGTTGGCTGCGTCCCAATTCAGGGTCTGCACGCTTGAAGTACGCATTTTAAGTGCGATTACGTCACCGCCACGCGACGACGGCTGTTCCAATTCGAAGTGTGCTTCAAATGCGCCGTCGATTTCCCCAAATACCAAGCGTGGTCCCATATATCCCACAATTCAGGCTGCCACTGAGCTCTGCCCAGGGGCGTTTCTGGGATTTTTTTTAATGGGGGGGCTAACAATCAGAAATAACTGTTGAAAACGACCTTGGAAGACGTTTATATATTCATGAGCATTTTTACATTCATAGAACAATGATAAACATTGTTTTCCTAAAAAAATGATAGTGAGGATTTATTCATTTAACAGTATTTATTTGTAAGAAACACTGCATACTGTATTATATACAAGGACCAACACATTTTCATTTAGAAATCAAAGTATATATATTCATTTAAAAGGAAAGGAAATGGTAGGTTTTTGTTTTTCTTTAAACATCAGAATGGCTGGTGTGGTTTTGTTAGCTTATTTAGGATGGAGGTGATCATTTTTGGGACTATTTTCTGTAATTCCACTGATACCAGAACATGTTGTGCACTCTCCCAGTTCTTGCACAGGTCCCTTTGGAGGTTTTTCACTGTGCATTCATGCTACAGCGCTGTTGTTTCAAAGCACTCAAACAAAGGCTCAGTCTAGGTGCAAATTTCTGTCTCCAGTGTACTTGTCTTATTAAAGAATCACATAGAAACATAAATGCTTATATTTGCTCACAGAAAAATACAATTAGTATAAAATAAACCCAGGGTCAAACTGAAGGTTTCTAGAAGTTACTGAGAAGCTAAAAGTCCTGCTTCATATTGCAGAGGCCTATACTACAACATCCTAGGCTCCTGTTTCCAGGGTAACCCTCTGATGTATTTACTAGCAGATTTTTTGTCAGTCAGCAGTATCCTGCCATGTCGTCGCTTCAGTCGGAATTTAAGGGAAGTTACCAAATGTCATTCAAGCGTTAGGAGCTGATGTGTTGTTGCGCTGCAGGGTTTGGCCCAGAACCTGCTGAAGAGAACATCTGAGCGGAGCTCCGTCAGCGGATGTGGGATCACCTTTGAAGTAGTTTCTAACATCCCAGGAGGAAGTACCAGGACATCATGTTAGTGTTCAGGAAGGAAGGAAAAGACATTTGGAAACCAGCAACCATGAATTTCACTGAGACATCATGTCCACAAATGAAAACAGATGTGATTACAACATCTGTGCAGGAACAGCTGGTCACTGCTTTCCAAAAATCAGTGCTTCTCGCCTCAGACTTACAGTCTGTGTGGACAGAAGGAGGACAGAGGACTGGTGGATGAGGTCGTGGAGTGGTCTGGGAGAAATCACCCGGTGGTTAAAGAAAGAAAAAGTATGAATAGCATGAAACGGAGGAGCTAAGCTAGACCAAAGGTTTTTCAGAGGCACTCTTTTTGTTCTCTTGAAAAATAGATAAAGATGGTGCTGAAAGATGCTCAAACTTTATTTTTCCTTCTCTAAAGTTAGCTTAAAAAATAGGATGATTAAAAAAAAAAAAGAATCCTAATAAAACCCAATAGATGCAGTGATTATGTAATCTCTTTTACCAGGACATCGTCGTAAAAGATTTTCTAATCTCAAAAAATGAGTACATAATGTACCAGAGAATGAATATCTCTCTCTCTCTCTCTCACACACACATACACACACACACACACACAGACACACACACAGACACACTCACACACACACACACACACACACACACACACACACACACACACACACACACACACAGACACACACACAGACAGCAGAATTAAATTGATTTATTATCACTTATAAAAAGTTGATCTTTAAACAAACATTCAAGCTTGATCATTTTAAATGCAAATGTATTAAAACACATTTCTGCACAAAAACTAACACAACATTAAAACCAACACAATCCTCACCAAACAGACTGCAGCACATACAGGGAAAGTCACAAGTAAAGTTCTCAAACACCCTCACGTGAAACTAATGCAGATTCCTGCATTTTCTTGGCAGGAAGAGGAAAATATAGATTTATAACTGTTGCAAAATTCCAGCAGTAGCATTTTTGACGAGTGCAATAATTTTAACCAGCAGAATCACATCAGAATAATCCCCTTTATTCCTACACAGTGCGGCGGGACGTGTCCAAGGCATTTTTCCAAAGGCTTTATTCAAAGCATTTCAAGGCACAAGACTAATAGCACACCATATGGTCATACATTACAAAACACATCTGGATGTCTGCGCTGATATTTGTTTATCTTTGGAACTGCACGAGAAAGAAATCGGCTAGCCTTTTTTTTTGGGGGGGGGGTAATTTTTGGTATGCACAGTAAAAAGGAAACGGTGCCTCCTGTGAATCCGTCTGTAGCGTACTTCATGTGTACCCTTGCTTCCTTACACGACATATACAGGTCGCAGTGCTTTGATTACAATGTAATGTCTTTTGAATAAATACATTTATAAAAGGTTAGCGTGTAATTATCTAAAAGCATTCACATTTTCAGATAAAACATCCAATGTCTGCCAAGTATGTCACACAGGAATGGAGTCCTGTAACAGGAAAAGCCAAAAATCATCCTCCAGACACGAGAGCGTGGAGTGACTCATCCAAACTTACTGTCAAACCTCCAGTAAATCGGTCTAGAGTGCGCCAGACACCACTGTGCCAGTAGGCTTAAGCTTTTGTCCCATATGGGCAGTGATGTGCTGGGGATGCCCAGCAATGAGCCATTTAAGTGTTCCACGACTTGCGGTTCTCCCCCCTGCCGCGACCGGTTGATCCGGTTCCACCTTCGCCTTTGGCCAGAGCTGTAAGGGCTGCCAGGTTTGGGCTGGACCCCGACAGATGGGCACTACGGCGTTTTTGTTGCTGCTGGCGATGGCGTTTGGGATCGCCACGGGTTACTCTGTCAGGTCTTACCAACACGCCGTAACCAGGGTTGCAGTGGAAGTAGTGCTTACCAGCCACTGACCCATCGTTCTTTCCTGAAAGAAAGAGGAAAATACATGAATCGTAAAAATTTAAAAAAGCAATAATGAGGCTTTAATTGGCAGTGCATACATGTTCATGAAGAATGAGAACGATCAGATTTGGTGTTGGGTCTAATCTAAACCTACCTGCTGGTACTTCAAGTTCCACTCCAACCCAAGTCCCCTCTGCAAAATCTGTGGGTCCCAAATATCGCACCGTACCACTCTTATTAGCCCCCACACTCACAAACTCGCCCTCTTTCAACCACTCGGGAAGAACAGCAGAAGCAGCTGTATCTCCATCCTCTGTGTCAGAGATGATTTCCAGACTTTCCTTCGGCACTGAAAGGTTGGGTCCTGTCCCACAACTTGAGGGTTGGTTCACCAGTGTGGGGGTATCATGCTCCTCCTCACTCAGAATCTGCAGAAATGACTTGAGGTCTGAAGACTTCACTTTCTGGATCTTGAAGGGGTTAGCTACCGAGGGACCTGATTTGGGAGAAGAAATGGGGCCTTTGGCAGGTTTGACAGAAGCTGCTGGCTGCTGAACCACACTGGTGGCTGAGGATGAGGGTAGGAAGGAGGCACCATTTGTTTCTGGAACATCAGAAGTTGACTGTTGCTTGGATGAAGCTTGAGCAGCCAGGTCTACAGGCAGTCCTGGATCAGGACTTGAGGCTTGGATCAGGCTTGGAGAAGGATCTTGAATAAAGTCTGAAGCCGTCTGATCTTGTGTGCGCTGCTGGGGTTGCAGGACGGTTGATTCCAAACGCCTCGCTCCTTCTTGAGCAGATCGTTGTGTCTCATTAGAAAACGCCAGTTCACATTCTACTTTGTTTGTGGCAGCCACCTCGAGATCTTCTCTTGAAGGAGTCTTTGGTTCACTGTGGTCTACATGGCGCACTTCTGTCTGCTTGGTCCCATTGTTTTGTGCCACCTCTGAATGATCTCGTTGCTCTGATCCACGGTCCTGTTTTTGTTCGGTCTGGTCTGGCAATTCCGCTTCTGCAGCTGGATCAGATTTTTCGGCCTCCTTTAACTGGTCTGATAGGAACCGATTTGGTTCTTGTTGACTCGGCATAACAGCTGGTTCAGATGGCTCCTGCTCCATACTCTCTGCATCTGCTTTCTGTCTCAAACTCAGTAATTCCTGAGGCCCTGATTGGTCTAAAAGAAGAGTGTCCGATTGTGTGGTGTCAGAGAAAGGAGAGAACTTCTGTGTCACATTTTCCTCCTCGTGCTCATCGAGCACAGTTTCAAAGCCATCCCTGCTACCATATGACGAAGGCAAGTCCCAGCTCAGCGTGTAGACTTCTGACAGCGTTACTGTAGATATGCTTGTTGACATATATCCACTGGAAGCCTCGCTCACTGGACTGGTGGTGGAGTCTTCAGTTTCTGGGATGATTGGAGGTGGAAGAGGCACAGATCTGGGGATTTCTGTTTCATCAATGGGGACCTGGGGGCAAACCATAGAAACGTGGTTTTAGCCAAAGAGCGTCTTTTTGCCAGTTTCCAAAAATGGAATTTCCACAAACTCATTTCCAATTTCTGATCATAACCACCCTAGTGCCAGCTCCTGGTTAGTCCAGCCTCAAGATGAATGTTTTTCACCATTTCTGAGGATCTGACTGAAAAACCTACCTGTCAATCACAAGGCCAACCTGCCCTCAGTTTTTAAACATGGAAGCTACATCATTGTTATTCTACAGTCTTTGTACTTGGAGCCAGGTTCAGTTGGATACTTGGAGCAGCAGAAATGTTTGAATAACAATGACCAGCACATGTTGCTGGTATTGAACATGAATGTATTCCATATAATCACAGTCCTGTTATCGTGCACAGGATGGTCAGGTGAACTTGTCGTGTTTTCAAAGTAACACAAACGTCTAAAAATATTAAAGTGAAGAATCTAAAAAGACAAACAGCGCTGCCAGAAGCCGTGCAGGCTTTTTATAACTTCATCCGACGTTTTTGTACCACGGCATTTACAGCCGATGACGAACGATGGGCGAGTTTCGGTTGACACAGACGGCATTACTGAATACACTCCACTCCGATCAGTTTCTATGTTTGGAAGAACAGATCTACACAATGTGTTAAAAGAGCACCCACAGTACAACAGCATCCGGGCGGGGCTGGAGGACTCACCGCCTGCCGCTGTTTGCTCATGTCCTCTTCAACGCTGGCCGACTGCACCACGATGCGCGGCAGACTCTGCGACGGGGTCGGAATTAAAAAAGCAAAGTTAATGTGACTTCAGATAAAACATCTCAAAGCTGCTAATTAGCACTGAAGGCTTTTCAAGCTGATTTCAAGATGCAATCAGGGGCCAATCAGCTCTGTCCGCTTCAAACCTGAAGATTAACAGAAGTCTGTTCATGCCACACTGCATGATGTGGTGATTAGCTGCTGTGGGAGCATCAGAGAGACAGAAGGACAGAAACAAGCAGAGAGAAAACTGAACCTGTGATGGTAACAATGAGGCTGAACACCGACCTGCTACGCCCTCTCTGGTACTAACATTAGGCCAGCTGACCGTCTGCTGCAGCTGCAGATGATTCTTCATAATTATGAAGATTCGTATGTTCACGTGACGAAAGGAATCAGATATTTATTTCGATAACGGCGTTTCGAGATGTTGACACGAGATGCAGACAGTGTAATAAAAACATTGGTTCATTAGACTCGTAATCATGACAAACTAGTCAAACAATCAGTATAATTGCACCTTAATTATAATTGCACCCATCATCATTGATCCCTGCTCAGGATTCAAAACTCGACATGATCCGTCAACTGATTAAGCACAAAGAAAACAAAAACCCATCTTGATCTTTAAAAGATGCGTGTGCTTAGCAGACAGGATTTTAATCATGACGACTGAGTTCATGCAGAAAGGAAGCTGCTCGATTTAGGACACGTGGAGCTTTGAGAGCAGAACGACGACCTACGTGGTCCGCAGGTCTGACGTCAGAAAGTAGGTCAAACAGGTCTATCCTACCCCTCGCGTGCTCGGGAAAATAAACCTGCAGGTCAACACAACACATCAGGTGCACAACAAATGCTGCCTCTGCTTTACTGGTTATTGAAATCAAAGCACAACAAGCACCCGTCTGTGTTAATCGCAATCTCCACGTGTCCGTGTTCTCAACAGCCGTTCATCTGAAGCACGGCAAGCGCAGGAGGTGCTGAGGAGTAAACGTTTAGTTGAGGTTGTTGTTGCTGGCTGCTGTGCAGCATCAGTGAGAGGAGCTAATCACCAGGAGGCTAAAGTCACAGTTCAGTCATGTGAGCGCACACTCCTCTTTGGAAATAAATGCGCACCAGCTTTGGCACCTTTGCTGACGGTGGGCTGGCTTCACTGCATATCGTCCGTTTCAGGAAAATGCTGGAAGGTGTGTATTTAACCGAATCAAAGAAACGTGATGTCCTATGGTTTGCAGCACACAGTTTACTTGGAATTGTGCTTCATTTAACACAGCATAATGTGCGTCGACTAACTGCTGAAAGCTGCGAGTCAAAGTTGTGTCCTGGAACTCTTCATCCAGTCGTCACCCTGAGCGTTTAGAGCCAGGCTGCCAGATGCACATAAATCCTTTTAGTTTCAGGTTTTTAGCCACGTGGCTGCACAGTGCAGCAGTGCAAACTGACACTTGTGTATTTTACTTTGCTTTTGTTGTTGCTGTTGTCATCTTTCAGGTATTGATGTGATGTGTGGTAGATCAATGTTCCAAATGTAGCATTAAAACCTCTGCATTTAAGCATCAGCAACAACAACGTGTGTATTTAACAGCACCTTCAGTAAACCTCCAACAGGTCCGAGTGTGATCGTACAGCCGTAACACAGACCGAATAATTCCCGCGCTCCCTCTGAGACGATCGTTTCATCCGGAGAGCGTAAACTTCCTGATTTAACAAACGATGACTCAAACGTTCTACTCGCAGCAGTTCAACATTTCAGTAGTTGGTGCTGGAAGTGCTGATCAATCTCACGGACAACCACAATTTTAGCCAATAGTACTTATCATCTAGACCAGTGGTCCCCAAACCCCGGCCCGGTACTGGTTTTTATTTTGTTGTATTTATCTGCGACACTTCAAAGGCCGGTCTGTTTATGTCCGACAATATTTTCACAGACCGGCCTTTAAAGTGTCGCAGATAAATACAACAAAATAAAAACCAGTACCGGTACCAAAAAGGAGATTTGTTGATAACACACGGGAAACACCCAGGGAAACCGAGTTAACGATAAAAACCCTGAAAACCATAACTTTCACGGCCGAGCCTGGACTCTCACGGACCAGTACCGGGCCGGGGTTTGGGGACCGCTGATCTGGTCTACGGATGTCTGCTGTCTAACAGGACAAACTCCTTCATTTCTTTATATGAAAGAAATCTTTAGAAAAAAAGAGTGAGTCATAGTTAATGAAACTTTCACGCAGACTTAATAAATTAGTTTTGTTGGTTTTATAACATCAGTCACTTCTAAGGTCCAGAGATGTGCAAGTATCGAAAGTACAAAGTACAGCAGTATTCAAACCCAATGACAGCTCTACAATTCATGTAGAGCCCCAAACACATTCGTACGGGCCGTGATCATCGATCAAATTACCCTTTGGCAGCCCGCTATTATTTGCGTCACTCCAAGCTTTTGTTTTGTGTTGACCGTTGTAAACATCTGTGGCAGGAAGATGCTAATTAGAGCAATATTCTCAACAACAAGCACAGCGAGGCCTGCTGGGTTTCCTTTCCAACATTCCCCTGATTAGCTACTCTCCACAGCTCAAGGGCCAATCAGCCAAATGAGACGCTGGAGTGTTTGGCTGCTATGAAAAAAGCTGCATGATTGCAGAAGAGCAGATGCTGCGCAGGTTGAAGGAGCAACGTGTCAGGATAAAGTTCAGCAGCTCGTAATTACCCCTGGTCTACGCACAGTAAGCGCCTGAAGCAGACGTGCTCGCAAACATCAGTCGGTGGGGACAGCTCAGCCATTCAGTCTTGTTCCGACTCAGACACAAGACTCGAGTACTTTAGAGTTATTGGCTGAAAACGGAAGCACGTTCATTACCAGCTGCCTTGTTCACTAGAGTCACTACAGTGCATCGCTTTGATTTGCCCGTTTCTTATGACAGATGCTCTTCCTGACATCGCCCGAAGGATGTGTGGCTTACACACTCGTCTGCCTTCACATGGCAGACGAGTGTGTAAGCCACTACACTCCATTTTATTAGCAGCTGAAAAAAGATGCGGCCATCATGGCGCCACGTGTTGGTTCATGAACCGCCGTCTCTCGGGTAGTGGAGTACTACACTAACAGCTGGTGCCAGCTGGCTGATTAGCCTGTCCAGAAATGCACACCACACGCTCAGCTGGTAATTAGTGCCACCATAGTAAGTAATACGAGGATTTCACTAATTAGATTTGTCACATAATTTCTTTTACAATGAAAAGCATCAAGTCCAGGTTTGAATTAGGTTTGTGAGCCTGTGAGGTTACAGGATGATAATAATAATTGTCGCAGTCCTAACCGTTCCCTAAACAGGAGACATGTTAGCAGCTACCTGAAAGGTGATGGCAGCTGTGTCTCTATCGGGCTGTAGTAATGTTGGCCATTTTAATATGGACGTCGGCGGGATTTACTCCGTTTTGCCAAAACAAAACACTCTGCAAACCATCCAAAGCTTTTATTCACAACATGCTTTTCTTCGTAATCTTAAAACAACGAGGCAAAAGGTGCACTTAGCTCTGTTTCTATGGCAACAGAAGAACTCAGACTGTTGATGAGGAGATGGCGTGTTCAGATTCAGGTAGCAGCGACGCATACGAACTTTAAATCCCTGATAAGGATGCAGGTCGAAGACAAGCTTTAATGCAGAGCACAATAAACAGGCTGAATGAGCCTACCTGCTGATGGACAGCTGTCTGGTCTCTGCCCTCTTTCCCACCAGGAAGCAGCGACTTCAGTAGCCTGGGTACGGCCTTCACTAAAGGGAGAGAAGAAGCAGTGAAGCCTGAATGCTCTGCAGAAGAAGGAAGAGGAGATGGAGAAGGGGGGCAGAGAAAAACCAAACAAACCAAACCATTTTTGAGAATAAGACTCTTAAAGAGAAAAAGTTTTCCCCAGACTAAAGCATCAGATGCACAGCTGATGACATCAAAGGTCACACAGAGGGCGTTTTTAAATAGCTGTACCCGTCTCTGCGTTCAGATTCTGGGACAAGGAGCTGGGAAGTGTGCGTCTGGAAGGAGGAGGCGGCGCCACAGAGAGGTCGTGATGACTGTCCCAGGCCTGCAGACACGATGAAGAGCACTTCAGTCTTTGTGGGAGCAACATCCAATGGCTGCCAAACACAGCTGCAACACAGCTCCATCCATTCATTCACTGCGTTAAGCTACATCTTCTATTGATACACCGAGTTTTAGGAATTTCAACCATTTTTAGTTTATTTTTGTTACCATTTGTCCACAGTGTTTAAGTCATACGTCATTCACTGAGGTTACACAGATTACTTGTACAGGGTTGGGTTTAAGTCCTGAATCGATTTAAGTATAAATGTATTTTGGCAGAAACGGCAGAATCTCAGATTACAGCTCACAAAACTGTTTCATTAACTGCCAAACAGCTAAAACAGCAAGTAAACAGGAAAAGATGTAGGCGGAGCGTGGATCGTTCACCCGACGGCGCGCACGCGAACACGCCGTCGGTGCTGAGAGCCGACTCAGATTCTGAGCTGCAGGTTTCGTCGCTCTGACCAACACTGACTGAACCAGCAGCAAAAGATCCAAACGACGCTTCTCGTTTGATAAACATCGGCATTGATTCTGACTTTTTTGCTTCCACCACGATAAAAATCACACTTGCTGCACAGCTCTCTCTCAGTGCACACATTTACGATCAAATCCGTTTCCTGCGTTATTCGCTTGCTTATGGGTGGCTGTGGCTCAGGTGGCAGAGCAGGTCAGCCACTAATCAGAAGGTCGGTGGTTCGATCTCAGGCTGCATGCCAAATATCCTTGGGCAAGATACTAACTACTGGTGGTGGTCAGAGGGCCCGGTGGCGCCAGTGTCCGGCAGCCTCGCCTCTGTCAGTGCGCCCCAGGGCAGCTGCCATCACCAGTGTGTGAATGACTGAATGTAGTGTGAAGCGCTTTGGGGTCCTTAGGGACTAGAAAAGCGCTATACAAATGCAGACCATTTACCATTTATTACCAACTAGTCAGCTGCTGGTTTTATTTTTCCCCACAAATGACATTTGACAAGAAAGCCTCATTTCTGAAAGTGATGCCAGATTGCAAAACTCTCAGCTGTCTCTGATCAAACCTCAGCAGCCTTACGTAAGGCAGGACCTCGTTAACTGGAATCGAACCAGTTATAGAAATCAGTGACGATGCCCAGCCCCAGTATTAGCATACTGGTGTCAGTGCAAGCAAGGCAACCACTGCTTGTCCATTGAAATCCCGTTCATGGTCATTCAAAGCACAATAAGATATCCTCTTCAGGTAAGTGTATTAGTAAAAGCACCTTGGAGACCCATCAGGTTTCACCTTCTGTATGAATCCAGACGTGCAAATTAGTATCATCACAAACATGCAGTTAATTAGCAGGAACAACTGGAGTGTAATGAGGTTGTGTTTACCTAAGCAGTTACCAAAGAGAAGCTGACTTCAGTGTCTCACCTTGAAGTCTTTGAGCTTAAGAGGGGAGGAGCCAAGATCCAGGCTGCTGCCTGACAGCTGGGTCAAAGGTTAAGTGGTTAGAGGTTAGTGAAGCAGATTGTCAACAACCAGTCTCATCATCAAAGGCAATCAAGAAAG